GGTCACCTCCCTACTCCTGCTGGCCACACCACTCCTGATCGAAGCCAGGATGCTGTTGACCGCCTTGGCCACCTGGGCACACTGCTGGCTCCTGTTCAGCTGGCTGTCGACCAGCACCCCCAGGTCCTTTTCTGCCGGGCAGCTCTCCAGCCACTCCTCCCCAGGCCTGGAGCGTTGCATGGGGTTGTTGTGACCCAGGGGCAGGACCTGGCACTTAGCCTTGTTGAAACTCATACAGTTGGCCTGGCCCCATCGATCCAGTCTGTCCAGATCCCTCTGCAACATATGCTACAATATGGTAGTGTACATACAATATTACTACAATGTCCTTTTGTTCTTCAATTCTCTTTAATTTTATTTTTAAGTAATAGACTTTTTATGGGAATCTTGCTGATTTATTGCACTCTATTGATAATTTTATTATTTCGTAGGCGTATTAGGTACCAGTAGGGGTCGCAATTGGTCTCCTTCAGTTGCTCAGTTAGTTCCTATGTGTAGTTAAGACCGCTGTAAAATAGAAAGTGAATCTTGAGATTTTCAGTTCTTGATACTTAGCAATTTATAAATGAAATGAACCACAGGATCAACAGAAGCATACACACTATCAGTAGTTTCCTATTTCAGAGAAGGCTTTGGTGGAAGGGAGTGGGGAAGCATGTCAAAACAATCTATAAAGCCAGTAGAACACTTAGTAAATAATCGAAATATCATTATAATAAAAATTCAGCTGACCATACATATAAGCTAATACCTTTATAATAGCTGATCCCAGTTACATTCAATAAAAATGCTTTTTGCAAGTTTGTTAATGGTCTTAGATTCTCCATGCAGTTAGAATAGAGTGCTATGACAAAGCCAGACACTGAAGCTCTTTTTCTCTGTTGCAGTTAGCAGAAGAATTACTAAATGGTGAGGCTTATAGCTTGGTTGTATAGCAACTAATTCTAACACATCAGACAAGAAAGATGGAATGCAATACTGCAATGAGAAAAGCTGTGACTGGATTTTTGTGCTGCTTCTGAAGACAAAGCCTGAAATGAATTTTTTTTTTTTTAATGTATTAATGTATTTAATGTATTTTTTTTAATGTATTCTTTTCCTGCGCTGTTTCTAATTTACTAGTATAGCACTAACCTTTTCTCTGTTCTTTTGATGTGCAGGCTAGAAAATTATGTTGTGAGAAGCTGTAGTTTAAGATTTCTGCGATTTTGAATGATTTTCCTGAATTTATGTCCCATACCTAAAGTCTAGGTTAACTTAGAAGCAGATACATCTCAAAAAAATACTAATACCACTCAAGAAATCCTAATCCAAGAGTTTTGCTGTGTATGTTAGACATAGTTTGAAAACTTGCCCTACTTTACAGATCGTTGTGTCTTATAACCAATTTTGTAAAGAATTAAGTTTGTCAGAAGTCTTATGCTTAGCCACCTATTCCATTATGCCTTTTTTCAGTTTTTAAAAAAATTGTATTTATTTCATCATATTTGAATCACAAACGACTTTATCTTTGCTCCAGTTATTGTCACTGGAAGATTATAGTTTCAGCATTGTTTTACACCAGAAAAGTCTGCCCACCAGCACAAGTCTCCCCATTTTGTTTTTCCGGTGGAAAAAAAGGAAGTTCCAAAACTTTCATTTTAGAAAGATGCTACTTGTGCACTTCTTTACAAGTTTCTTTGATTATAGTGCTATTTTTAGTAAATAATTAGGAACTTAGTTTTTCTACTATAATTTTCCTCAGTTTTTAAAGTTGAGCTTAACCACAAAGGTTAGCAAAGGTTGTAGCACTGTATATTATTCCATATTTTTTCAGATATTTTTGAGGAAGCCCCCAGTTTTTCATGGTCGCTGAAGAACTTTACTGCATAATCAAACCTACATATTATATTTTTATCCTGACTGTGTAAGTAAATAAGGTGTTTTTGTGCTTTCTCTGTCCTCTGAATAGCTTCTGACCTGTTCTGTAACTTGGTTGCCACCGGCTGCTGACAGGTACTAAATTTTTGTGGCTTCTCTGAAAGCACAGCTGTCGAAAGAGAGTATATAAATTTCATTGCTGAGAAAAAAAGCTGCAATTCATCTTACAGATGTTTTTTTGGTCAGGACCCTTCTGTGCGGTAGAAGACCAACACCCTATTGTCTAATTTGTTTCCTACTAAAATTTGCCCTATTAATAGTGACATGGCAGGATAATATTTACGAGATTTTGGAGCACTAAATAAAGCCTTAGTAGCCAGTGTTCATGCAGGCAGCTTAGGGAGCATGTCTTTAAAGGTCAGACTTCTGATTTAAGATGTAACTAGTCTGCTGAAAGTTTTATTTGTCTCTGAAAATATCTGTGTAAATTCGCACTCAAGAAAATAAAAAAGAAAAAAATCATTCCTGTAGACTGCTCCCAGCCCACCCTGCTATTCTGTCTGCAGGATTGCAGAGGAGTGCTGCATGACCTTGGGCACACTGAGAGAGGATTTCATTTGCAGCTCGTTCTCTGTAACAGGTGATTGCAAATCGTACTTGTCTGATCCTTGGCTAAACAGCAGAAGAGTTGTGAAACTTACGGCACTTCTGGAGGTTGCTGGAAAATTGACATGTGTTTCTTAAAGCATGGCACTTTTTTATATATTTGGTGATCCTAATGTGACCTTTTAAAAGCTTTGTAGAAGCTACGTTCTGTATGTAGTACGCAAGTGAACTAAAAATGTTAGAGAGCAAATATTTGCTGTAGGCATTACAGGTTAATTTCAACAATAGAAGATGATTTTTGGTGTTTTAAAAAGTGATGTTTAATATGAAGAATTTAATTAGCACATTCCTTGATTTTTACGTTATCATTTTTTACTGATAAAGAAAGACCTGGATTGAAATTACTGGTTTGCACATGGAATTCTTTTTTTAAAAAGTTGTTGCAAAAATATCTCATAAGATTATATAATGTGAAAGACTTCACTAGTTGTCTTACTATATCTGTCTGTGCAACTGATTATCACCAGCTTTAGATATGTCAGCATTGAATGCTGATTCTTAATAACAGTAGTGTATCTCTTTCCGTTAATGTTACTTTACAGAATGTAAGTAACGTATCATGCACAAAGCAGTTCAGAAGTAGGACATTAACATCAAACAGTTTTCTGAAGTGGGTATACTTGCCCATCATCCCACTGTTGTATTAAAAGAAAAAAAAAAAAGAGGGGGAGAAATATTGAGGTTGCAAGGTTCAGAAAATGCCAAATTCATGGTTGCTGCTACAACCCTGATTTTCATTTTGTTATTTATTCCTTTTTCTAATCTGCCCAATGAATGAGACAGAAGTCTGCTGAAAAAATTAGGTTATGATCATACACCGATCTCAGGGGCAAGCACACAGACAAAAGCTTACGAACTGTGGATGTTCTGGCAGATTTGAAGTGAACCTGCTGCAGTGTATGATACTGGATTTACTTTGTTTGCTTTCAGCTGACTGTTCTGACATGCTGCTAAAATTTTTCAAGAAGCATAAGTGATACTAAGAAATTACAGGTTTTTTAAAGTTTTGAATGTTATGCCTGAATTAAATAGGGTTGTGTCCTTTTAGTTCTATTCTGCTACTTGCGTCAAAAGATCATGAAATTAAAGTTTCTGATTTTTTTTTTCTTGATAAATTTTTATTTATGTAATTACACTAGTGAGTGTTTGACTGCTTCATATTTAATGTGGATGGAGAGGTTAAGAAACTGTTGTTGATAAACTATATAGTTCTCATGTTTGTTTTGAGTAATTGATAGAAAATAGAGTCCTTAATACTCATCACTTCAGGAAGAAGTAACATAGGTGTAGCAATGAAGCAATATTACTGCCAGGGTAAGCACAGGCTGTACAAGCCTTCTTGGAACCCTGGGCTCTCAGCCCAGACTTGTTGTTGGTGTTGATGCTTTCTTCCACATCTCAGTGCTATCTGTATTTGAACTAAATTAGCAAGAAATAATGAGCATGAAGTGTGTTTGCTTTTGTGGTCCTAAATTGAGCATAGATGTCTGTCCTATATGTGATAATGAAATTTGGAGTTTCTGCTTTGCTGTGTCTCTACAGTATTGTCAATTCCATAACTCGGAAAAAATGAGACAAATGGAAATAAAAAGCATTTTAACATCTTTTATTTCAAGAGGCTTTTTTCTTCTCCTTTTATGCAAACCGTGGTCTTAAACAGAATCTTGCTTTCATGATCTGCTTGCTTACACGTGTGTTGGAGAGGGGCATGAGAGAAGACGGGATTTCAACTCTCTACTCATGCAGAAGATTCTGGGTGGAATAAGGGAAAGGAGTTTAAGTTATTAGGCAAGTTAAGGTTATAGTTTGAATAGGCTGGTAAAATTGGAAAAATTGAGAATTCATAATAGCTCACTGTTTAAATGTTAATAGGTTGGTACACATGTAAACAGACTGACTGTGCATACAGACAATTATTGCAGAGTAGTCATAAGTGCAGAGCCAGTGCTACAATAACTTTTCTGAGCAGCAACGGCTTTAATTTATTCGGTCAGAAAAATAATAGCAATTTACTCAGATCACGCATTATCATATTTTAATGGCACTCTTGAAATATTTAAAATGCCGTTGGCGTGATGCTTTCTTGAGGAGGATTCTGAATTCAGCTTTATAGTTAAAGATTTTTCTTTTGTTATGGAGTGTTACTGTACTGAAAGCTTACTATGGATGCTTTTTGCTTGTGTTGTATATTTGTACAAGCTTGAACACTTATTGGATTATTCTATTTTTCTGATCCTTAGAACTATTTTTTTATTTCACAGATGGTCTGATGGATTGTCGTCCATTTTCAAAACACTAGTGTGTTTTCTTTTTCAGGACTGTTACAACCCACCAATTTTCCACTGCCAAAAAACCCCACCAACAAACTGCAAAATAACCCAAACAATAAACCCTCAAAACTCCCAGCCTTTCCAACCTGCCCTTGAAGTGGCAGTGTCTCATCATGACCAAGAGTATGCTAGTAGTGAGATGAGTTCCGTGATCACAGAGTTTGATATTTTATGGAGAAGTGTAATGCTTAAATCTCAGAATGTAGGGTTTGGTGGGTGGTGGGGTTTCCCCCCCACCCCGGCCCCGCTAGTCAATAGAAGGTATTATAGACCATCTTTTAAAAAATAGTCATGAAAATAGCGGAGCACAGCATATTTTTTCATATATAATCTTTCCACTCTAAGTTTTTCTACAGTTGCTACGTAAATTGCAGTGGTTACCTCGTCACTTCAGTGCAATATGAACTTTACTCTTGCCAAAAACGATATTCCACCTTTTATGCTTCATCCTTATTGACTGAAAAGGTGTTCTGTTCTGCCCTGACTGCTTGGCTGCCACGTGCCTTGTGCCAGCAGCAGTATTAAACTCAACAGTAAGATGACTTGGCAACTGCTTGTCTGAAAAGTAGCCCAACAGAAAAAAAAAAAAACAAACAAACAAAAAACCACCAAAACAAACCAACCAACCAGTTTTGAGCTGGATCAGCTCCTGCTAGGACGCTCTGTGCATATAAACACCAGTGTCAGAACAAGGGGGATGGTGGCAGTGATGGGTAAGGCAAGCTGGAATGTCTCTTTTGCTGAAAGCACAGCCTTAGGAAGACTGACTACAGTAGCCATGTGATCACAGCTTTGGTTTTGAATGTGAGTAAGATTATCGAGGGAGAAAGCAGAAGTCTCCAGAGACTGATTGATTGATTTAATGTATGTTAGTATTTAAGATCTACAATTTTCACTTTTGGCTTTTCTGCAAGATTTGGTTTTGGTGGTTTTTTTGGTTTTTTTTGATAGCTGTATTGAGAATTCATATAAAGATGCAAAGTTACTGTAGAAAAATGATTATTCTTTCTCTGCTGAATTAATGGAGTGCAAAATCCCTCTAATGACCTACTTAAATGTTTCTTGCTAATGTCAGTTAATTCTCAAGCTGTAATGTGGAATGGGTAGGAAAATAATTGTCTACTTTTTCCATGGCCAAAGAAGCCGAAATATTTTGGGAAAAATGTAGCATGAAGAAATTGGGTTGGCTGATTTCACGTGATCAAGGGATCCTTTCCGAATCCTGCAAGGGGGGATTTAGCAGCAGCTTGCCAGTGCCAGACTGGAATGGTGATGTCTGCACTGACTGATATGTTTGAATGACGTAGTAAAAACTTTGGCATTTTGACCAGTTCTGTCAGTATATTTTTCAGTAAAAGCACAAAATATTTGCTCACATCTGCTTTGAATACTTGTGGAACAGAATTGGCTGATTTATTATACATAAACATAGGAGCATTTCATTTAACTGTTGGGAGGGATGTTTTAATGTAATTGCATCACTGCAGAAGCCCTCATAAAATTATTGATGAACATACGTGAAATTGTTAATGATTTTTTATTTTAAATCTAGTTTAGGACATGTATCCATCCTGATGTTTCCTAGAAGCCATTCAAATCTTCAAATATCTGTTGTATTTCATGTATTCATGCAAGATCTGGAGGTCAGAATTTTTTTTAGATTAGGTGATCAAGTCCTAATATTTTTCTGTAAATTTGTCATAAATAGTACAGCTGTACAGCTATATGGCAAAACCTTTATAATAGCACAGAGACTCCAGGTGAGGCAGCACTTTGAGCTGACACTTTCCTATATGGTATTCAGTTAAACCTAACCCTAAAAAAGTCTGTAAAAATTCTAAAATTGTCATAATTCTTTTAAAAAATTTTATTCTTGATGTAATGACAAAGTATTTTTTTGAGATATTTATAGGAAATAAAGAGGTTCTTACAGGAAATTACAAGATTCAGAAATCCCATCGTCCTGAAGACGGTCTTAAGACTGAGCTTGAGAAGAAATGCCATGAAGAAGCAATGACATTATCTCTACTCTGGTCTCACTGTAATAGTTATAAATTCTGACACACGATATATAGCAAGGAAAACAAGCGATTTAAAGAAGTTAAACAAGGAACAATGTGTCTCATTCATATGCATGTAGTGAAAAGGTGTATTGTCCCATGTGTCTGCGGTTAAAACAGAACAGCTGCAGCTGCAGGCAAACTTGTAAACATTTCTGTTAAAGATGGATGCAGACTAATTGATCTGAGCAATACTTCTGATACTGTGTTAAATAATACCAGTTTTGAAAGATTACTCAAATTAGTGATGATATTAAGAGCATTTTTATGTGCTTTGCTGAATAGCAGATTGTGTTGGCATCACCTTAAGCATGTTGCTGAATTAGTGCCACTATGTACATGACTTTTAGATCTGAGATGAGCAAAAATACACAAGGAAATTAATCTTTTTTGTCCTTTCTGTTTAGATGAACTTCGTCAAGCCATCGTGGCCATGATGAATAGAAAGGATGAACTGGAAGAACAGAATAGGTAGTTTCCTTTTTCCAGTCAAGAGACACTACGATCTAAAAAAATCTGTTCTCTAATACAAGCTGTCCTTTGTGTAAAGATATGCATAATCTTTGTGTAATCTTATTGATGCATATATTATTTTTTCTGTGGAAGATAAGCTTAATACTTCAATCTTCAGCTGTTGATACTGAAGAGTAATGTTTGCCGGTCACCTTTTTCCTTTGAATCACGTATAACTCTTTGTATCTTGGGAGCTTTTGCCAGTTGTAGTTTTCTTACAACCAAAACTTATAGCCAAAAGATTTTCAAGATCTTTTAGGACAGCTTTCCAAATGAGTAAAAGTTTGTCCTTATACAAATATTCAGAATATTTCCTTTTTTCCACTTCTGGTGCAGGAGTGGTATAGGGTGACTAACAAAGTTATGCTGAAAGTGGCTGTCGTGTGTCTTTATGTTCACTTGGGGCAAAACGATGGTGTAAATGTAAAAATGATAAGTTGCTTATTTAAAATGCTATCAAACCTACTTTGTATTTATTTAGTCTATTGGACCACATAATTAGATGAATGAAAATGCAAATGTATTCAAGACAGTGTTGTTATGCTGTAGTAGGGCTATTTTGGCAGTTTACATTTTTCAATAGATTGATTTTTTTATTTTTAATGTCAAGACTACCAACTGATCCTATTTTCTTGCCTCTTGTCCCTCCCACTCCCATAATTGCAAGTTATTGCCCCATTCAGCTTTGCAATTTTTTTGGCAGAAGGTCCAGGATGCGTTGGGTTTTACCGTTATGCATCATGCTGACTTTGCTATCTCATCAAAGGTTTTACCCAGAAGTCTATGACAGTGTTCTCAGAGACAATACCTCTGCCAGTCTCCTGCTCTTGCTAGTAAATATATTGCTTATAGATTATTCCTGAGATGTGTAGACTTGCACTAAAGCACTGAAACCAAATTCTAAGCTGTTTTCTATAATAAATGCTTTCTACATGGTGGTACAGTAGATAATAGGTTGTGCTTTGGATGAGATTGTAATATAAATGAAGAGTAAGCACTTAAAACTGTTTTGATTAGGTCCTTTCTTCTTGTAGCTTTTCATATCTTTGTGCAGTCAAATCAACTGAACTTGTTACATTAAATAATGAAACTTTGGGATGACATTAATGGTATCTTTCAGGCAACCTACTCTGTGATTCGTAGAGTATCTTCTAAATACTAGGTAGTGTTTGCAGTGTTCTAACAGGGGCTGCTGCCTTCTTTCAGGTCTCTGAGAAATCTGCTTGATGGAGAGATGGAACATTCTGCGGTGCTAAGGCAGGAATTGGACAACTGGAGAAGGAAAGCAGCAGAACAGGAAGAGCGACACGCCACAAAAGTCCAAGCCTTGGCACGGTAAGAAGTCCTGGAAGTACCGTAAAAAGTAACAGCAGTGGAACAAGGGAATACAAAACTCTGTATACAAGAGAAAATAATTTTTGAGTAGTTAGTTTTCAGAAGAATGTAAGTGATTTAGGTATAAAAGTCCCTTGGACTTTAGTTGAATTTAAGCTGAAAAGAACCGTTGGAAGGTTTTCTGACAGATTTAGTAGGCTTGTGGTTTTTGTTCTGCTAAGTGCTAACAGTAAGTGACAGTTTAAAATAATAGTAAAACCACGGTTACAGCTCCAGAGGAAAGAATATTAGTGAGCTGAACTTCTGACAAAATCAAGTTTGATGTTAAAAAGTAATTAGGCTAATATGAAGAAACATAAGCCATGAAAATAGCGACAGGTACGTAATGAGACTAGATACAAAGGAATACATATGTGTGTGTACGGTAAATGTAAGAAGACTTTTCTGTCTTCATTTAGTCCAGTTCTAACCCCACTGCCCCCTGTTTTTTTAAAATTCATTTTTAATTTATTTGACATAAGGGGGCGAGGAGGGGAGCAGAAACACTGTGTCAATGTTTATTGTGAACAGACTGATGTTGCTGTCCTAGAATAATGAAATGCTCATTCTAGTAGTGGAAATGGCTGCTTTGGTGCATGTGTAAAACATAGGTTTTGTTTCAAAAATCCACAAACTAGATTGGCGGGATTCTAGCTCTCAGATCTGGAGCCAGTGAGGATTTGTTTTGGAGACTATTGCATTTTAATATTATTCCACAGTATTTCCTCTGGTAGATGTCTTGCATAGTTCTATGCTGAGATTAGTGTGGGGACCCCTCTCCTCCCAGCAAGTTCTTACATCAGTCAATAGAAATTGTGCTGAGTGGTCCCAGCGTCAGTTAAATTGAGTAGAAATATTTGTGTCTCTGCTTAGTGCTTTCAGTTACATAGAATGTGTCTGTGTCAAGTGATGCTGACACAGATACTCTTCCATATGTACCCTCACATATGTAAGCAGTAAAGAATGGATTATCCATCTCCTTCGGTGACATTTCCGCCTGATCTGTCTTGCTTCTGTCTGATTATTTAAGCATGACTTTGCTTTCCTTGGGCTGATGTTTTTTTCTCGTCCTGTTGTCAGGTTTTCATGGCTGACCACTTTGTCAACCACTTTTGTCATAAGCAGCAGTTGTTGCCAAACAGTGTCAACAGTGCCAGTTTCTGAAGTGGTGCAACCGCTTCCCCCTAGCTCTAGGAATCTCAGCTGGCTGGTTGCTTGGGACCATTTCCTTTCAGGTGCTGAATATCTTTGCAGATGAGACTCCGCAGCCCACCAAGGGCAATGTTGTTGGCGGTGATCCGTTGGCAGTGCTCTTCCTAAAGCAGTGCAAGGTGCTGTTGGCTTGCTTTGCCGTGAAGGGTGTGTTGCTGGCTTGTGGTCAGCTGCTTGTCCACCAGGACTGCCGGATCCTCCTCTGTAGAGCTGCTTTCAGGCCCCTGCCGTGTAAGGGTGCCTAAGGCCATTTCTCCTCAGATGCAGGACTTCACATTTCCCCTTGTTGAACTTCAAGGGATTCGTCTGAGTTCAGTTCTTCAGCCTGTCCAGATCCCCATGAATGGCAGCACAAGTTGTCTGTGAACTTGCTGAGGATGCACACTGTCCCAGCATCAAGGTCATTAATGAAGGTGTTAAACAACATTGGCCCCAGTAGTGACTTGCCTCCAGCTTGGCTTGCTACAGTGCCACAGCTATGCTGAAAGAAAAGAATTTGAACCCTCCCCTTGTCTACATGTGATTTAGCTTAGGAAAGACTTTCAGAGGGAAATGCTGTTGTAATAGTGTGATTTTTCTTCTTGCTATTCTAAATAAGCTCTAGAGTAACCTGTGATGCCTGAGATCTTGGGGAAGATTCACATGTATAGTAAACAACAAACCTATCCCAAATGTTAAATAAGATTAGTAATCTGTGCCTTATCACAGAGACGAGTGTTTGCTTTATGTTTGTGCAGGCAGAGTACTTCGTGTAAGTCGTGAAGTACCACAGCTGAGATTTGTATAAGCTTTTTATTGCATAGCAGAACTAGTATCTGAAAATGGTAAACACAAAGCTTTCTTAAAAAACAACAAAAAATTAGCATTTAGAACGTTAGTAATTCTGCTTTTGATGACACATCAAACCTAACAGCTCACTTTGAGGGAGGGAGAGATATGCGTAGTGGGTTTGACATTCATGTGTTGTAGGGCAGTTGAAACAATGCAAATCATTTATCATTTAATTATCGTTTAATATTCACGTTTCAGGTTATAGGAATTGTGTATTCATATTTCTTTGACTCACTTCCCCCATTGTTTTAGAATTTGCAGTGATGTGGGTGAATCAGATATTTGTCATGCACATACCTTTTTAAAGAATACATAAGGAGCTTTTATAACAAGATCTAAAGAGATGCTCTCTTAGTCTAACTTGTTATTTTGAAATAAGTTTCTTTAATTTCTCGTTGCTACGGAGACTGGGTGTGTTGTGTTGATTGTTCTTCTGAAAGTCAGTTTTCATTGTCATGTGATAAAAACAGTGTTGGGAGCTGCTTAGTTACAGCAAATTCTTGTGTCAAGGTTATTTTGGACTACATGCATTTCTTTAATGATTAATTGCAGCTCATTTTCTAGCACATAAGAAACTTTGCATCTAGTTATTTTGTAATACATGTTTTTCTTCTAAATTCTTTTGTTAATTCACTTAGTGCATTGTAGGTGATGCTGCTGCAATAGTAAGAGTAGTAACATTTTTTTGTTTTAATAAATAATGGCCCAGGAATTTGGGCAAGCTGAATGATTTGAAGCATTTGAAATAACAAACATTTTGGAAATGCTTTGGAAGTGCTGCAAAATACACTAGGTGAGAGGAAACTAAGTTTCAGATATATTGCAGTAATGAAATCTCACTGTTTACCTTAAAAACAATTGATTGCATGACTAGAGTAGAAAAATTTCCTCAACTGTAATATTCTGAACATCTTAAGGCAAGGAAAATCAGTTGGTAGTGATCTGACTATTGTGATTTAATGAACAAATATGCTTCAGGTTATGACAGCTGATATTTGTGTGTGTCCCCAAAGCTCTTGCGAAGAATTTGAGGTAAACATCTTCCTGAAGGCTTTGAGAACACAGATTTCAGTGACACATCAGTCAGTGTTGAAATGATTAGTTCTGGATATCTGCAAAACTGATTTATTCAGCTGGTCTCCTAGACTCTCCGAAGAGTCACTGGTATCCAAAACGAAACTGAGTTTCCTGGGTTCACTTGGAAAAGTGGAAAAATTCTTAGGTCATTTTAGTTTCAAGTAGTCGTAATCTCGTTCTTCCATGTGAAGTATTTGAATAGCTCTTTCATAACGATTAGGATATTATTGCAAAAGGATCAGCCTCAGCATTCAGCCTGTTTCCTAGCCTTCTGATAGAATAGACTAATTAGACTCTCTAGTATAATTTTCTAAGCTGTTTTTTTGGGTCGCCCCCCTCCCCCCCTGGTCAGTGAGCCTTTCTCAAATTGTGTGGGCATATTGTGCCAGTGGCTTCTTGGCAATGCTGAATTTTTTAAATTGGGAATATTTTTTCTTTATGGAATACTATTACGTCCCTTTTGCGAGGCAAAATTCATTGAAGTTGACTGTTAAACTGGATAATCTCAGATTGCGTATTCTTAGACTATATTTAGAAATGTTGGAGGAAAATGTTTTACAAAGGACAGGCTTTATAGCAAGAAAAGCAGATAGAGAAGTTGATAACACAGTGTTTAGGGAAATGGGGGATGAGAATTTGACTATACTTTATCTTACACTTTTATGTACCTTCTGTTTGCTGTACACTCTGTAACCTAATCTGCCTCCTCTTATCTAGTGTCTCTATGATTTAAGCCACACTGCATTTGAATTTGGCATTTTATATGAATCCGTTTTACAACACTTCATTCAGAACCATAGCTCTTCATTGATGGGTGAAATGATGTGTTGTGCGTCTTGAAATGATTGCATCACTTACCTTAAGCAGCTTCTTAGAGAGAGGGAAAAATATCTCGTCTCTGCTTGTGAAAACTGATTTGCATATTCCTGTTTTCAGTGCTTTTTTTCCTGCTTAGTTAGTTGGTGACTTCTGACAAGTTACAAAAACCTTGTATAAAAAGCATGAGACGCGTTACTTCGTAAGATCAACAACTTCCTCGTACTTCTTATCCACAAAGCCATTTTTTCCTTTTTCAGATGTGATATAAATACTAAGATAGAGCCCTTTCATAATGTAGATTTGAACACAGTCTGTGTTATGAAGCTATCACGAGAACAGCTTTCACTTTGTCATGCATGTGGTGTATGTCTTTCATGACAGGCAGTTAAGTTTGTCATAGTATTCCTCATTACAGTTTTTTTCAGATTGTTTTTATACTATAATCTCATTGTATTGTATATAGTTCAACTTCCACTTCTGTGAGTAATAGTTCTTATTTTTCGTATTTCATTTAGAGTATAGATGGTTACAATTAATGGTGATCTTGCTCTCTTAATAGTAGGATCATAGTATAATTCAGGTTGGAGGGCATCTCTGGAAGTCATCTAGCCCAAGCTCTGTATATAGATTCTACATATTCTTGCAGTACACTGTTTATTTCAATTCATTCTCAAGATTCATGCATGTTTTTTTCTATTTGGAGATTTGGTATCTTTATAGTGTTTTCTAGTGTTTTTATCAAGACATAGAGATCTGTAGGATTTTTTGTTTATTTGTAAGCCTGCGTTTAGAAATAAGACATGTTTTAGGAGTAAGCTCCACAGAAAGCACTTGTTAGTATCTGGTGCTTGTGCCAGAAACTTATTTACAGTATTCTTTAGGCCACTATAGAATATAGTGATATATGAGAAACTACTTTTTTTCAAATTTTTTTCTTACCATGCTCATTTTACAGAAGCCCTAGTGGGATTTTTGTATCTTTTTCAAGAAGCAGTTGTGTGGGGGTGGGTTGTTTGTTTGTTTGTTTTGGTTTTTTTTTTCTTTTAAGGTGTAGGAAATTAAGTCCTATGAGGCCTATTCCCCTGCAACAAAAATCATAACTTAAAGGTATACCGTTCTTTAACCTTTTAATAAAATCTTTGGAAGTCAGCTTTTATGAAACGCTTTCTTACTGGTATTAATTTCTGTTAACAGCCAGAAATCTTACTTTGAGGAACATAAGATGCATCTAATTAGACTTGCATAGTAGACCTTAACTGTGCTTGGTCTATGTATACATGCTTCAATAAGCACAGCTATCTGTCAGAGAAACTTTGTGGACATTACTGGAAAATAACCAACCTCCTTCAAGTCTCCTTGCCCCCTCATAAGAGTGGGTTTTAAAAGGGATGCTGTAGCAGAAGCGAAGTGGGGGACATTTCACCTGGGGAGCCTTGGTCCTCCTCCAAGAAGTCCCGTCGGGGGGCTGATGGGCTGTGGCATTCCGTATGAATAGCATCTCTCTTCCATGCTCTCCTCTGTTTGATGTGAGGACATGCTGCTTGTTACCCTGTTGCGTTCATCTGCTTGATATAAGAGTCCTTAGACAATGGTTGCTACTTTTCCTGGCGTGAATTATCTTGTTGCTGAGGATATGCATTTATCAGTAATATTGCTTGCTGTCTTTTCATTATATACGTAGAAGTCAGGTATATGTTTCCCAAAATGCAAGCTTGTTTTATGCACTAAAAAAAAATTATTGTTCTTACAGTAGTTTTGATTTCCTTTTAGGCGGAGTTTCCTTAAATGCTAATTTTTAAATAATAATTTGGGAGGAACTGCAATATTTTTGCTTCAAAATTAGGCAGGGAATTGAAGGTATTTGACAACTCACATTTATTATATAATTGAGCCTTCCTTGTCATTCCAGATAGTTTTCCAGAAAAGATAATAAATAAGCAGGTTTGTTGTTGCTAAAGTAGTTCTGTGGCTGTGTACCTTCATGAATATTTAAAGAAAATTTATATTCAATAAAATATTTTGTTTTATTTCATAGCTTTGTTGAGTAGGATACCATACACTAGTAATCCCAGTCAAGTATTGCTGTATAAACAAGCCCTGACTGTATGCATACTCTTGAAAGAAATTTACTGAAAGTTTTTCCTTTTTCTGACTTTGGTTTCAGTACAGGAGTTTAGTAGGACCATTAAGAGATTTTGTATGATTTGTGAATACATACAGTGGTTTCTGGTGAGTTTTCAAGTATGTGTGGCAGTAGAAATACTTACCACCTCATAAAATCCCTAAAATTGTATCTTCCATTTTAGAAAATTGATAGAAGTTACTCGTGTCTCACCATTTGAAGTTTTGGTACTTACATTCCTCTTCTCTTTGCTTAGAGATGTTATTATGTACTGATTCATTACCATAATTAGTATTGTTTTTTTCCTCTGGTTTTATGCAAAGGCACTGTTAATGGCTTAGAGTGAATACACATAATTTTGTAACATTCTGATTGGTCTTCAAGAAAAGTAGTAAAGCAAAAAACTCACTGCAGTGTTTAATTTGGTCTTAAGTAATTTCACTGGATAAAAATGCTATGGAATAAAATATACTCTGCTAAAAAAGGTTGGTTGATCCTTCCTGCATTAGCTTATAAATAAAGTGTTTATTGTAACCTGGAAATATCTTTATCGGATTTTCTTACTTGTATTTGTATTTAAATTTTGTATTTAAATGTGTGTATATTTCTCTAGTCATACTTTAGAGAGATTTTTGAGATAAATCTGCTCTGTCAAACTGTGTTTGTCTTAAGGAAGAAAAAGTGGGGAAATGCTTGTGGTTTCTTCTTTGTTTAGAAGACATAAATCTTCAAAGGTGTTCTGCTAATCTGCTGCTTATGTGTACCCAAATAATAATAAATAATAAATAAACAGAGACACCTGGGAAGGAGTTAAATTCTGGTTTCATAGCATGCTATAAATCTTTTTTTTTGTTACTGCATTTCAAACCATAGTATTCTTTCAGTGTAGCTCTTAATGTGCAGTTTTCTAGTTTTATAATCAAATAACCAAAGAAAAGTATGTCTTTTATCATTGTTCTGCATGAGTAATCACCAATAAAGCCTATACGTATAAAGCTTAATCAACAACACATGCTAGACCTGTGCCATTTGAGCAAAGAGAGTAATTTGTAGGAACACTAGTTTGTCATCTTCTACCAATGAGCTGATACAGGGTAAAATGACATATTGTCATTCTGTCTTTCAGCTGCTTATTAACATGGGAGAAGTGATTAGGCAGGGAAATTTGTTGTAACTGAGATTTTGGAGATGGGTGTGCTTTTAGTGGCATAATTCCCCGTCTGTTTTCCCAGGTATTCCAGCCTGTTTTTTTTTCGCTCTCTCTCGCTCTTTTCCTCTATCCTTTTCAACTTGTCCTTATGGTCTGGTCACTTATTCTTCAGCACAGAATGTGGAATTGTTTGGTGCACTTCAAAAGATGCTGAAAGCGTTGTGTTTAATCACTAGTCTCATAACAGGCTAATGGTTTTGCTTCAAGTTAGGTGGTAAAGTGTGGAAAAGTTGCAGAAGTAAAACTGGGCCCTTCACATAGAAGTATTTAACATCCTTAACAACAGGTAGTGCTGTTGGGTCAGCTGGACAAGAATTGCTGCAGATCTGACCCTTAACTCCTATACAGGAGTTTCTACTCCTGTAAAATACTGCTATGAGTATCTGGTATAATGCCTCTTGAAGTCATTAAAGACTTTTTAGTGAGTGCTTACTAACTTTTTTTTTTTCAGACATGCTCTGATAAAAAGAGCTATGTAAATTCATATGTATCAGGATGGGCCCTCTTTGGAATCTAGCTAAATAGTAGTAATGAGAAGGAATGACAATTAATAAGATCATAAAGAGGCATATTAGAAAATTGTGACTCAGCTATAGTATCCTGCTTTGAATTTCAGTCTTGTATCAAAAACCCTAAGTGAATTGAAGTCTTTCTGAAGTTCTTCTGTACTGTATCAGTTTTAAGTCAATAGGCACAATAGTAAGAAATGGATTTTTTTTTCATGCTCTCTCACTACAGGTGGAAGGCACTGAGTCTGTTCTCAGATGTAGAAATGAGATGGTGTATGATTATTTCATGAGAATCCTTAAAACTTAATATGTTGTAATTGTTTACAGTTATTTCCATGCAGACATATTTACACTTCTGGTGAGAAATCTTTTTGTCTAGCTGTCATGTAATTTTTTTTCTTTGTGAATAAATTACTTAGATTCATTTTAATATGGTATATAGACTTCAGCTATGTTTCTGATTTTTTTTTTTCCATTAATCTGAATATCAGCATCCATCTCTGGTGGAAAAACTGACTTGTTCTTTGTAGTCTAGGAAATGAAAAACATCATAAAATGCATAAAATCATCAAGGACTTCATTAAAATTTGATAGCTGGGTAATCAATAGTTTCTTCTGAATTATTTAGCAATGTCCTACTAAAGGACTGAATAAAATTGAGATTGCATAGTTCAGAAAACTGATTTGAAATCCGTAGAAACATTAATATAGTACCAGTGTAGGGTTTTTGTATATAAATATGGCATTGCTCACAACAGCAGTGTATTTTTGTGTGTGTGTGTGTATATGACATATATTTATTTTTTGTTTGTGTATTTATATATACAATATCATAAGGACCATCAAACATATTTGCATGTGTTTCTGAATACTTCTCATTCTTAAATAAATTCCCATAAATAAAATGCCTTTTCATGTATAATCTGTTTACAGCTTTCTGTAATCTGTTACATGTCTAGGGTTTCATCATTCCTAGAGCTTGTACCATTCACTTTTCTGGCATGATTTTGACCTGCCCGTGTTCTGTCTTCTCTCTAAACAGTTGCAGGTTTCATGTGGATGATGATGTGTGCTGCACCTGTGGCACCTGTGTATTTCTACCCTGCTGTTTTCTTAAAGAGAGTAAAAGTTGTCTGAATTCACTCTCTTGCAACACATTTTAAGTATGTTTCTTCTCTATAAACACTTCTGGCATGCTTGGTTAACTGAATGGTGATAGACAGATAATTAAATTTTCAGACATGGGATTTGTCAGCTTTGTTTAAAATTTGGTCGGTTAGAATCCTTTTTATTTCTCCCCAAATATAAACTAAGGTGCTTAATGTTGTTAGGTGGAGCTGTGATAGTACCTGGTTTGAATACTTCACTTGTCTTTTTCAAAGAGAAAATGAGACAGGCACAGACACTGAAATATAACAGTTGAAGGGACTAACTTGATTTCTTCTCTTTATGGTTTTCATTTAGGAATGGTGTGTGGAAAACTTTTACCTTTAATATTGTTGCTGAAGTGCTGGCATTTTCTTACAACGATGAAGTCTGTTTCTAACGCTGAATTCTTTTTTGCTTAACATTAAATACTTGTACAACTAGTGAAGTGATAATCTGATTTTATACTGGCCACTCTGAATTTCCATGTCTATTATCCCATCCTTCTGTTTTTGATCAACTGTTGATTTGGATAGACTATCATTTTTCTGCCATCAGTGTAGCATAGTATAGAAAATCAAAAGTAAAACAGTTAATGAAATTTTTTTGATTATGAGATAATCTGTTTCACTGATGCGTTTATGTTGCCCTGGAAAACTAGTTTTCCTGGTACCCTGCTGTTGATAATCTATTTAATGTGTAAGTCATTATTTTTTTTCATCTTGATGACACAACTTAGATAAAACTTATTACTACAGATATGTTTGTTTCCATTGAAAGGGGCTTTCCTCTATTTTGAGAAAACAATAATATTTATTTATTCTGTTCTTTTTATCAACAGAGAAAATGAGGTGCTGAAAGTGCAGCTGAAGAAGTATGTGGGAGCTGTCCAGATGCTCAGAAGAGAAGGTCAAACAGTGGAAGGTACTGATAAAATGAAGCGGGGGTGGGGGATGAAATCCATGCACAGGGTTTGTTTTGCTGTCTGCTACCATTGAGATGGTTTAATGGAGGCATAGGTATAGTAATCAAGTGATGGAAGTGACTGCTGGACTTGCATAAAAACTGACGATGAAAGAACAACCAGCGAAGAGCCATGTTGCTGGTTTACCAGAATCTGCGCCTTCCCCCCGCCCGCCCCCGACTGATCCTGGAATGGAGCTCTGTAGATAACCAGCCACCCAGTCCTGTGCAAGCCCTGGTCCATACCCAACGCTTCAGCCACACAGAACCATCCTAGCTTGGCTGGGGACATGGCTCACATGTCACACCCAGTGTGACATCTGCCCTCACTAGTGGGAAATACCAGCATCTGAAAAGGTGACAGTTCTGCTTCTATGAGAACTGCCCCTTACGTGTCTCTGGCTGGGCTATTTGCTGTTGTGTGAACAGTTTTGTAATGCAGATTGATATCAAACAAAAAGAATGCTATGTGATGGCATACTATCAAATTACTGCTAAGTAGAAACAATCAAGAAGGCTTTGCTTTCCTCTCTGAGTCTTCTCCAAAACGAGTGAGACCATTTACATGAAAGTGGGGTTAGCAAGAGGTAATTATAAGCCCTATTCATGTCTTCCAGCCGTGGTAGAGTGGTATCTACCAGTAGTGAAAATAACTTATTTGATATCTTTTGAGAACAATACCGATACAGATTTTTGTACTTATTTTTACAGAGCACTTTCTGGTAATGAGGTGGTCTTAGATTTTGCTGGGAAGTTTCTTATCGAAAAAAGTATCAGATGAAAAATTAATTTTAAAAATGTTGGAACTTAGGAATAATTATTTTGAGGAGAGAAAATTTCATATCTCTAGATTATACTGTTAGTGTTGGTTTGGAGATCAGTATTTGCAGACTGTTTTGAATAGACTATGTCTTAAGACCAGACATATCACTTGCTTTGCTAGGTTGCTTAGACTCTAATGAGCAGATTTTATATCTGAAAGATAATGAGTTAGCAGCAGTGTTAACTGTTTTTCTTCAGTGGTCAGTGGTGATGGAAGTGTCCATGACAGGATGAAATGGCATATTGATTCTGAATCACCTTCTGGTGGGACCTGTATTTTCACTGACTGCAGAAGGTGTTTTGAGACACAAGGTGGCCTTTCACACATTGGGACCATCTGTCCATTTTTTTTTTTTAATTGTCAATATTGTGGTCATGTAAGTAGCTGTATGAATGAATACTACATTAATTTTGCTCTTAAGGGCTACTCACTATACTTGGCTGTAGTTTAAAAACTTCATTCCTCCTTAAAAGGATTTTTGTTAGTGAGAACACATGTGTTTACTTCTGATTTTGCTGGAGTATAGTGATTCATATTAAGAATTATTCACAGAAACCATTGCTTAAGCTTCTTATAATAGCAGAAATTATCCTTCATTAGATACTGACAGTTTCCATGATGAGTGTAATTATAGGAAAAGAAAAAAATATTCCTAGGCTAGCTATATTCTGCTGTGTTAAAATTATGCAAATTAGTGTGTGATAAGAATAGAAACTGAGTAGGATGGTCAGATTTTATGGATGAAAAAGGGGGATGGAAGAGTACCAACATTTCTAAAAATGAATACATGTATGCTTTATGCTCAAAGGGTATCTAATCAATCCACAGTATTTTTCTGTGATATTTATCATTAGTGACCTGAATAAATTTTGGCTACATGCAAGATTTGTAATAATTTTTCTTATATTCTAACTCACACATTGTATTTTTATAAAACCAAGTATTTTTTTTTTATTTTTAGCAGCCGTTGGAGATTTATGTGGAATTTTTAGTAGTACTGGGCCCTCTGGCTCAAAAAAAAGTATTTAAGCATGTAAATAATCCCTAAGAAATAATGTTTAGATACACTTCAGAAAAGGAGAGTGAAACAAAAAAAAGTTTTCTCCTTTACCAGATTTATAGCAACCATTGCACTATGGTTTGTATGCATAACTTGCAGTATCTCATCATAGGCATTAATAGCTTTCAGATGTGAGCTTCATAATTAAGAGTATTTGCATTATTAGAAAGAGCTATTTGTACTTTTCAGTACATATATCATTGTATAACTTAAGGCAAATTACTGAATTCCAGTTGTGGTATATCTTCAAATGACCGTAACAACTTGGCTTAAGTCATTTTGTTTTTAATTAGCTTACATGTGTAAAAGGATTACCGAGTATATTTACAAGACCTGTTTTATTACTGTATTCTGAGATTGTGTCAATTTTGTGAGGAAAATGGGATGAAGAAACTACTGTTTTCTCTGCTTTTGTCATTTTAAGTTAAAATTCTTGTTGATTTCTTGTATATTAATTTACACACTTATAGGTTAAGGTTCTTGACTTCTAACTAGCCTTACATGTAGACAGGGACATAGAGTTCAGATCTGTTTAAGCTTGGAAGGCTCCCAGCTGTCCTCTTTCGCTGTAACAGTAGGAAATTGTCTTCATTGGGGAGGCACGAAATGTTGCATACAACTAATTTCAGTGGTGCCCTACGTTATCATAATGAGTAATTTCAGTGATGATTAATCTTCTTCCAAATGGTGTCAAAACAAAAGTCTTACATGTATTGTAGATTTTAGAACACTATGTGTTTAGACTTTCTGTAAAACTATTTTGAGAGAGTCAAAATAAATCGAGCTTCTGCTGTTATTTTTACGACTATAAATAGAGAAGAATCTACATGTTTGCTACAATAATCAGATCTGGTGCTACTGAGTATGGCTTTTAAATAATTTACTAAAATAGTAAATGGAAATCAGCATATTACTTTGCCTTGCAGTGACTTCTTGAAACACCAAAAAACACTCAGCAAATGTGATTATGAATAAGTTACTCAAGAGTCAGAACTGTGTCAAATTCAGAATATCACAGCAGCATTCAAAATGAGTGACCACTGTCATAGTTAAACTGGTATTTAAATATTTAAGAAATGAGCATCCTGGTCTCAACAATCATCAGGAATTGGATGTGTACCATTTTTCAAACCTGCTTAGGAACAAAAATATTATGTATATTAAAATGCTGATCTTAGAAGTTTCTGGCTGGAACACTTAAAGCAAGATTTGCAAGAAATAGCTCTTAAAGTAGCTTTCAGAATTCACTTAAAATAATAAAGTTCTGAATGTATGTATTCTCCCTCGAAGCAAAAATCAGTTCCCAGGCTGAAGAGTATTTGGTCAGATAAATTATGATGCCTTCTATCTACCTTATAGTGGTTGTATATATAGTTTAGATTTTTCAAAATGATGAAAGCGTTTGTTAAACCTCTCTTTTATTAGAACTTGTTTGCTTTATGCGCGCTAACTTATTTTTTTAGAAATTCATCACAAGTGAGGAGAAGTTGAATTGGACTTTGTGTAACTTGGAGAAGAGAAGATTTACTTAGAATAGGCCTTAAAATGATCATCAAATATGTAAACGGTAGCTAGGATCAGGAATAGAATAAACTGTAGTTTTCATTCACTGCGGGTAAGAAAAGAAGTAATGGGCTTAAATGGCAGGTGAAAGAAGCTTGATTAGCTGTCAAGAAAACCTTTCTGAGAAGAATGCTTAAATTTAAATAGGTTGTGCAGGGAAGCATGAAATCTCTGTTATTGGAGGTTTCTAGGAATGAGTTAGTTAACTGTCAAGAATGAAACAACTACAGCTGATTCTGCTTAACGCAAAACCATGAAATAGTAGGTGAAGTATGGAATGTCCATTCTCAGCCCTATTTTCTGTAATTTCTATGATATGCAAGTAGTCTCTGCAAGTAATATGAAAGGATATTTTGGAAGAGGAGTAGGAAAAAGACTTACAAGAGAAGTGTAGGCTTAGTTTTCAGATGCTTTGGGTAGGAATTGCAGTTGCTACCTACATATATTAGATAGCTGTAGTCACAGATCAGCCAAATGCTTTCAGTTTGCATTTTTTTCTGTTGAGAGTACCTGTCTAAATATTGTTCACAAGCAAGCTCCCTGCAACATTTGTGTCTTAGTACTTGTGATACTGTTCAGTATCACATCCTATTTTGATACTTTTAATAACTGTTTCTTTTAGAGCTATTACTTCCAAACAGGTTGTCTTAGATGTTTATGTAATTTAACATTTTGATCTGAGTATCTTTTTGTTTCAGTTCTGCCAAACATTTGGAGTACTGATGGTGAATTTACTGTTCCAGAACAAAAGCAAGTAGAAAACAATGAAGAACTAGCCAGCTCTTACGAAAGGAAATTGATTGAGGTAAAGTTTGTACTGCACAAATTTTATGGAATCATAATTGTAACATAACATTTGGAGCTGAAAATAGGTGGGTTTTTTTTTGCTTAGTTGTTATTTTTTCCTCCATTAGTATAAAAGAAAAGTCTGATTTTTGCTTTAAAAAGAAAAAATTAAAAGATTTAGTTTTCAGGCTTCTGTGGTTAAGATACAGATTTGTTCATTTAACTTCAAAACATATTTAAAGCAATTCAGATAATTAAAAATACTTTTCCTAACAAGGGTACATATTTATGCTGTAAGCATCACAGGGAATAGCTTTCAGGTATTGTGTACGTTACAGTACATAATGATAGGCATTGCTGTTTTGTCAGTTGAGCGTTAAAATGAAGGCATACTGAAATCTGTAGCTTTTTCTGTGCTTTCATACTGTTTTCTGATTGCCAAAACGTGTTTCATTTTTGTATTGCTGTACCATGTAGCTTATGGAATACTGCAGTATGGAAATGGATGTTGGAAGCTACTAGTTCTGTTGATATGACCATGTTAGAAGAAGTTCTTAATGCAAGATTCACTTTTAAGACTAATGTAAAATTCATTAAAGAAAAAAAAGAAAGATGAGGGTTTCATCCTAAATTTAAATACAGATTATTTTCCAGACAAAAGTAATGACATTTAATATCTAATGCCCCTATCTCCTATTAAATATTAACCGAACATTTTTATAAAAAGTAAAACAATTCTGTATGTCTTTCTCTTGCCCAAAATACTCTGAAACTGGATACTCATATTAACTGATGAACATGAAGATGACTAAAAATGCAGATCATGCATCAAAGAGATTAATACAGTTCTTCTAAAACATTCATACTTGGTTATCCTTTTCTCATAGGACCATGTGAAACTAATTCTCTCCCTAATCCATACCTTTGGTTGGGTTCTTCTGACTCCTTTCCTCTGTTCTGTACCTATCAAAAGAATATCTTAATTAAAAACACAGGTAAAATCTCTTTCAGCTTTAAAAGCATCCTCCTTCATTCTGCTCAGTTTGTTCTGCATGTTCAGGAATTTGTTGCTAACACTTATGAGTGTGTGGAAGACTGTGTAAGCAGTAGCACTGATGCCACAGCAGTGAATGTAACCGCTGGAAAACCTTGGTGCAAATCACATCCAAGAGTGGAAGTCAGCATCTGAGTCTCACTTACTGGTCTGTAACAGTATCTTCGCATACTCAAAGTAGGATGTGACCCCTGTAACAATCCCGCTGTATTTACCGAAAGTCGTTACTCCATTTTCTCTCCACAAATTAAGGACGTGAAGTCTTATTTGCAAAGGTTATCCTATGCTGTGTTCCAGACTGAGGACTAGGATAGAAGCCACTCTTGAATACTGTTCTGGCAGTTCCATTCAGGTAGAATTGGGTCTGAAACACGTTCAGACTTAAGCAGTTTTAGTAACTGTTATTATGTGCCTAGTAGACTATTTCAACTGAAGACAAAGATTCCCTTGGATTTGTTGGTAGCTGATCAGGACGTTGAAGCCTCCCCATAAAGAAATGACTGGCTGTCAAAAGAATAAAAAGAATGGTTCTGCTGAGTAATTAGAGATTTTTTTTTTTATGTTTCTCCATTGGAAATTATTTTGTTCATAATATATTGAAGAAATTTTCAGTTTCTTGCCATATTTGTAAAAAAAGTTTGTATTTATCAAAGTTCTTTAACTATGATCTGTAAATCAGTTGGTTTAACCAAGCGGATAAAAGTTGCAACTAAAAATTCTGAAGGAGTACAGAAACTTCAAGAAATTTTTTACTGAACAGTATGCTTAAAACAGTGTTAGAGCAATTTCTGTAAAAATTCTGCATAATTTTTTTTAGCAGTGTGTTTCCTTAGAAATAGTAGTGAAACATCTATCTAGTTACCACATTTTCTTCTAAACCCCCAATTTGAAACTTGTTTGGATATTACTAGGTCTTTGGATACCTCTAGCAATTCCCGTATGTTTTCCAAAGTCGTATGCTTTGTAACTAGAGCACTATTTTGTTTTAGAAGAGAAAGTAGGTAAACTTATACAATCCTCAAGCCATGAATAGTAGAGTGTGTTTAATATCATTGTATCGTATATTTTGGGTGATTGCTATGCGTTGTTAGCGTAAATTTGCTGTGTGTAAGGTAAAAATGTATTTCATTTGCTTTGTCCTGCTTATGTAAGGTTTGTCAGAGTAACATCACCAGTTTTCCTGTGTTACACAAACAGGGGACAAACCAAGCTCAAAATAAACAGTTACTAAGGACTTGCTGACGTGTTAGACCTGATACTGCTAAGGATTTAAAATGAAGCAAAACAAACAAAAATCCTAAAGCAATGGGGGTGTTTGTATATCTTGAAAAGACCTGTGGTCAGATTGTTATCAGTAAGACATTGTTTCCAGTTGGTCTCTTCTTTCTCTTTGTGGCTGCAGACCAGTAATGAATTAGTAAACATACCTAATTAGAAAGAATATGACTTCAACTTTCTTTGCTCTTTCAGCCTTTGATAATTTTGTACTCTACTTAAGAATAATTTTAGTAGTGACTTCAACCTGCATTTTATCAAAGTTAAATTACAGGTTATGCTCATGTTGTACTAAATTGTATTGTGAGAGCACTCGATAAACGACATTGAATTTTCAGTTTCCTGGCACAGAGTATTCCTGTCAGACTGGGGAACGAGGAGACTAGCTCCTCTGCTGGAATAACAGGCTTTTGATGTACTGAAACTTGTATCACAGTATATTAATCCCTTATTGTTCTGCAGAAAGACTCATTCTACAGGAATGTTGGAGACAAACCAGACAGTTGAAAAAAAATATCCTTTCCATCTCTCTAAGGCTTTCCTTGTAGAAGCCTGTACAAGTAACATTTCTAGGAGTTGGAATTTTTCTACATAAATTAACTAGGAATTGCTCAGTTTTTAAAGTAAAGTTCCATAGAAACCTGCAGTTTGCCTTTTAATGAACTGGAAAATACTCTTGTGCGTTTTCCTAAAGCTCATAGACTTAACTTTTTATGTGGTAGCTGTACTGTTGTATTTTTATGCCTGACGAATTGATCTCTGAGCGCTTGGTATGTGAGGCTGGGAAACTGTTTTTCTGACATGGAGGGTGCATATGCTGGTCATATGAACTCAAGATGTGAATCGCTTTGTTGAATAAGTACACTCAGTTGATTAGAGTTGAGAGTTTATTTCTGAATATTAGATATTCATGAGATCTGACATCGGTCAAAGAGGTTGAGTATTTTTTACATGCCTGACAAATTATGCAGCTCTTCTGAAAAGCTGAATTGTTTCAAACATTTGAATAGGCACAAAAGGTAATTTTGGATATTAAGCCAAGTTTTCACCATTCTGGAGAGTTTCACTTTGTGAATTTTCATGCCTTCTGTTCTTTCTTGTTGAACCAAGTAATTCGTCAACCAGTGGCATCTGGAGGCCTCAAAAGCATGCTGCTGATTATTTTTACTCAAACTGCCTTCTAGATTTTAACTTTAATCTCCTCAATTTCATTTCGAAGTGCTCAAATGACTTTAAGCTGTATTGAGGGTTTTTCTGAGCCAGCAATTACATGAAAAGAACAGTTAATTATGGCATGTATCATTGTAGTTGGGTAGGTGGCTTTTTGAAACACTTTTAAACATTTGACCTTTCAATGACTGGGGGGTGGTGGTGGTATTGGAGTAAGGAAATAGTATAGTATGTGAAAAGCAGCTGTGTGACTTTCCTTAAGGTTCTTTATGCTGCCATCATTGTTAGAAAATGGAAGTTCAGAATATAGTCTTTCAGTCTTAAAAAATCTGGAGATATATTGTAAGTTAATTTTGCTCAGATTTGTTTTTTACTAAGAATTTTTTGGTAGTATGCTATCAGATAATTGAAGTTTCCAAATACTGGAGGATTTTCAAATGTGACAATATGGCTCTGTTCATGATGCAATACATGAGTTGGGTTTTTTGTTACAAAATCCCTTCTCACATAGGAAGTTGTCTGGTCAAGTGGCATTATCAGTTCAAGACAACTAACTCCCTTGTCAGGTATATTATGTACTGATGGGTCATACATCATAATTGAAACTTTCATTCAATTTTACAATATAATGGTTCTGATGGGAGTAGCCAAAAATCTTGCTGAACACAGATTTTAAGTTTCTTTTAGCCTTACTTCCTGGTTCTGCTAGTTTCCCCATCACATTGTCTTGATGGTAACATGCTACCACTGTTATTTAGACCTCTTCTGTTTGGGACCCTTGTCCTTTTGGAGTTCTTCCCCCTTGAGCTGTAGGTTTATGCTTGACTTCTGTGTAAGAAGTCGTCAAGAGCTCGATATCATCTTTAACCTTACTTTGAGTTTCATTGTTTCTTACTTCTCTTGGCAGGGAACCAACTTAAACACAGTTTGCTTTGTAAATTAGTATATTTTTTATCCTTGTCATTCATCCAGCCCTGTTCATTTTCATAAACATCCTGCATCAGTTGGTGCTTTCTTGACATTTTGACTCAAAAATAGAGAGCACAGACGTAGCTAGGCTTTGTGTCCAAAAAGGCACGCTTGAGGCCACTCTATTCACGTATACGCGACAGCTTATGCCACAGCGATACAGTGGTATTTATGTTCCTTTGACCCCTCACAGATTTGCCTGGGATGAGTGGACTTCTAGCTTCAATCCTATTAAAACTCCAAGTAAGAGTGCAGAATATATTACTCATGAATTATTGACAAAGTTTAATACAGTTAGTGCATTTTGCATTATTCTCAGTTCAAAATACTGTGATTAGCGTGTAACTGTTGAGTGCTGTGTTCCTCAAAGAATGAAACGGAGAATAAAAGTTAATAGGTGTTTTATCAGAATCAGTTGCCATAGCATCCCCTCTGATAGGAGTAAATTTGGATATAGAGTTGTATTTTGTCCTGTTGAATTCAATATCAAAACCTACATTTCAAGGCAGGAGTCAAAATTACAATAACAGTGTCTGTTCTTAATGGTCAGTTCAAACTAATGCATTAGCAATGAGATGGACTACTTGGAGAGTATGGTAAACCAAAAAATATTAAAAAAAAGTTGATATACATGTAAGAAATTACACAGTGTGGTGGTTTTTTCAGTTTAGAACACAATTATCTCTTGTCTTTGTTTTTCAGGTAGCTGAAATGCATGGGGAACTGATTGAATTCAATGAGAGGCTGCACCGTGCTCTGATGGCTAAAGAAGCTCTTGTGTCCCAGATGAGACAAGAACTAATTGATTTGAGAGGGCCGGTAAGTGTTTGTTTATTACCGTATATAATACCACTCTGTGAGAAGTTCAAAACCATTACTCGTGATGAAATAAAATATAAATTAGCGTATAGGAAATAACAGCTAGTAACACATCTGTCGAGAACACTGTACTTAGTACTTTTGATAGTGTTTGATTCTCTTTAGCAGAATTGAATGTAAAATGGATATATTCAGGCAATAAAATTGTTTCCTACCAACTACTGCTTCACTTTGGCTTTTTGTGTTAAAAGGAAAGGTGGGACTGATGTTTGAAAATGAATAGGGAGGAAACAGAAGGAGTCAAGAATGTTCCTAATAGTTGCCCATCTTCCGAGGGAGGCATGTTTTTAAGGGCTAAGTGCTAAGTTGTTATTAGTTGCTATTGTCCAAAATGAAACTGTTAATTGAATAGAGTCCTGAAAACTTTTGCGTTTTCCTAAGAAGTGGATACGTTTTAGTTCTGTATTAGTAAACAAAACTCTGTGTTGATAGTCTGTCTTTTACTTAGTAGACTTTAATTAGAGCTTTGAAAGTTGCTAAAGTGGGTAACTGCCAGAAATTGTGGGATACGAATATTTGATCCCCCTTTGACTTGTTTGAAAATATCAGCCAAGTTCTTAGCATTTTATTACTAAAATAGTATATAATTTACAGTTTGTTGTAAAAATAGCTTGTATGATTCTTCCCTGTCTTCTCTTTTCCTTTCAATGCTGATAATCAATTTTAATGGCTGTAACTTATAAATGAATTGTTCATAATGATATTTCCAAATTTCTAGTTATTGGGTTCGGAACTTCTGTAACAAACAGAGGAATATTAAAGCAGAAAGTACGTGCTTTCCAGGGTATGAGGAAAAACATTGGTGTAAGGTCTCCATCACTGTGTTTTGCATTACAATGAACAACACTTCAATTACCATCTCAAAATCAGTAACCAATCTGTTTCAACATAGATGTATAAGCACTGGAACTCATTCATGTCATCCTTTTTCTTATTTCCAAAGTCCACCCTCTGCTTATGAGGTTTTTATGGAAAACTTGTACTGAAGTTAATTAAAATAACTGTATATATCTGGTGGTAAGATTTGCCACTTCAGATATAGGGAAAG